GAGGGTTCTGGCCATTGCTTTAGCCTGCCTTTCTTTCGGAGGGTCCCTATAACAATAGGGACTGTTTTACTATTTTTAATAACTCACTAATATTTTTGCCTGCAGATTTTTCTAGTTTTTGAAGCTTTTTCTTGACGTCTGGGGCTGCCTGGGGGACAAAAGCTTGGCCAACAGCTTTTCGGTTGCCTGCTGCCTCAGGTCCACTGGGGTAACAGCCAGCAGGCCGCACACAGCTTTTCTAGATAGGCGGCCAGCCTCTCGGTCTTGCCCGGAATCACCGAGTCACTCTAGACAGAGGGATAGGGGGCACGCCGCCTCCCGGAGACCACTCGTCAGAGTCCCACCAGTAAGTACATGGGGAGGCTCTCCCTACCTTCCGGGCCCCCAGGGGCCAATCAGGGTGGCGAAAGGGGACACACTTTCCCGTTTCTGAGGGTCTGCCCCGGGCACCCATTTGCCCCCAGGACGGATCCCACCGTGTCCTTTGGCTGTAAAGAGTGTGAGGCAGTCGCTGACAGCCGTCCCACGTGGGCTGATGAGTGGAAAAGGGAGATCCAGCCCTGTGGGTGGTAGAAAAAGGTGGGTTCTGCTGTTTCCAATGACAAAGGTCAGAGGTAGAGAAAGGAGCGTAAATCATGAAAGGGCGTCTTGGCTGGGCTCCTGGAGGTGGTCCTATCTCACAGAGGGGCAAAATAGGTGCAGTTGGGGACTGGGATGAAAACAAACTCCATCTCGGGTATGGGACGCGAAAAAGTTTGAGCTTGGGTCAGGATGGGAGGGCGGAGCTCGAGGATTGGGTGGTCTGTCCCGGAATGGGATAAGGGCAGAAAGCCTTCAGGGTCGGAGTCTTGTAAGACTGTGGCAGGTATCCAGGCCTTAGTACGGGGGACAGAGGTGATGAGAATTCGGGGAAGGGTTTTTACCCAGGGAGGTTTGGACCCCACATTGCCAATTCAAAGAAAATATAGAGGAGCTGGTTAGGTTGGCCGTCCTTTCTATGAACTTGACCTAGAATGAGAGCGCAAATAGGGTAACAGTGAAAGGTTAAAGGTGCCTTCAGGAGGCCACCCAAGGTCAAACTGGGCCCAATCATAGGAACAAAGTGTCAATAATGCACTGTGACTGACCGTCTCCCGTGGGAGGAGGCCCCCTTCTTCCACAGAGGCCAGTGGGTCAGCATGAGGTCGAGCGGGGTGGACTGATGTTTTCCTTGGGCTGATGCTATGCCTGTAGGAGGAGAAGTGGTGGCTGTAAGATGACAGACAGAAACACAGAACAAGTAGTGTACAGACAAGCAGGCGCCTCAGAACTGAACAGATTACCTGGGGCTCTACACCCGACGTCTCGGGGAGAACCGGGTGGCGGCTTCCACCGCGTCCAGCACCAAGACACAGCCACAGAGACTGCTCCTCAGAAACAGGAGGCGGTTTGGCCCATAAACCTCTAGGTGTCTCGGTGGGACCCCCAAATGTTGTAAGCAGGTTGATGAGTAAACAGAATGACAGAGACCGAGTCCACCTTTAAAGAGGTTCATTGGGTTCAAACCCAGACTCAGCGCTGAAGGGCCACACTAGACTGTTGAGTGCCGAGTGTGGACCCCGAACTTCCACCTGGGATAAGCTTTTTTAGAAATCATTTTATTGAGGGCTTATGCAACTCTTATCACAGTCCATCCATCCATCCATCCATCCATCCATCCATCCATCCATCCATCCATCCATTGTGTCAGGCGCATTTGTACATTTGAAAGGAAATTATTTTGAAAATGATGATGACAACAAATGTGCAAATGTGCTTGACACAAGGGACAAGCTTTTATAGCCATAACACAACTAAAAAGTTGAACTTTGCATTATCTTCAGTTTGCAGTTTTTTTTAAAAAGCTGCTTGTAGCAGCATGTGTTTTTTCTAAAAGCTACAATGTACAAAAGCGAGTATTTTGCAATAAGGCTGACATTTGCGCAAGCTTGGTTACATCCTGTCATCTACTGTTCTTATTTCAGACCCAGGCTCAAGGTAACTTCCTTATCACAGCCCAGTTCGCTATCAGACAAGACTCATGCTCCCTGCCCCAAGGTGAATTAGCTGCCAGGGGAAGGAGCCCTGTGCTGCTCCTGCCACTCCACGGCACCTTGCATGCCCCACCTTGTCCTGAAGGTTCCAGAAGTCCAGTCATGCACATGTGGAGTTGTGGTTAAGAGGGCTGGGCCCACCCCCACCCCTCTAGTCGTATTGCCTGGCTTTGGATCCTCACTCTGCCCTTGTTAGTTGTGTAACTTCAGAAACGTTTCCTGACCTCTCTGCACCTGGCCAGGTGTGCTAGATTGCTTCCAAACGGAATGACTCATGTGTCTTCTCTCACGGGTTTGTGGCTCAGGGATGCGGGCAGGGCTCCGCCGGGCAGTTCTTCGCAGCATGAAGTGTGGCGCTGACGGACATTGCAGGGTGCTCTTCACCCCGAGGCAAGGCTAGTCCTGAGGGTTGAGACGGCTTTACTGACATAGCTGGGGCCTTGGAAAGGACTGGCTGTGAGATAGTTTATTGTGCCAGCCTGGCCGAT